AATAGCCATGTGCAGGGATCAGCCTAAGTTCCCATCAGTAAATAAGTGGATGAAAAAACTGATTCATTCACACAAAGGAATACTACACAGCAGAAAAAAGAAGGAATCCCTGTCTTTTGCTATAGTATGGAGGGAACTGGAAAATGTTATGCTAAGTGAAATAAGACAGTCACTGAAAGAGAAATACCATATGTCTCAATTATAAGTGGGACCTAATCAATAAAACAAACAAATGAGAAAAAAGAACCAAAGACATGGAAATAAAGAATAAGCTGACAGTGACCAGAAAGGAGGAATGAGAAAATAATGGGGGAAAGCAGGGGCAGGGACAAATCAAGGAACATGAATAGAGGACTTGTGGGTTAGGACGATGGGAAAGAGATTGACTGTGGGATTTGGAGGGATGAGGTAGGGGAGAGCAATGGGGGAAAGGGTGGGACAATCATAACTGAACAACAACAAATTTTTTTTAAAAGAGAGAAATTATATGACAGCTTGATTTCTAATGATTTTCTTTTCTCCTTTTGTTTATCAGCTTCTCTAAGATATTTTGCTTATCACTACTTTTTTTACAAAGTTTTAGCTGATATGGCTTATAATGAAGTTTTTTAGCAGTTGCCGACAGTGCCTTCGGCAGTCCTGGGATCTGTCTATTGCTTCAGTAGGGTTTGGATGAACAGAGCTAGAGATGCCCCTTCTTTCCAACTACCCTCCAACCTTTTTTCTAGTCACCACCTTCGGAACCACCTCAGCCATCTTCAGCTTTGGAGACCAGCCAACATCATTTTCTGACTTGATTTCTTCATTGATGAATAACCATGAGCTCCCACATTCGTCAAAATTATTCCTTCAAGGTGGAGGCCAATGCTAACCTGGTCAACCTGCATCTGCGGGCCCCCTATACCTACCTCTCTCTAGGCTTCTATTTCAACTGTGACGATGTGACTCTGCAGGGTATGGGCCACTTCTGAGAGTTGACAGAGGAGAAGCTTGAAGGTGCCAAGCATCTCTTAAAGCTGCACAATCAGCATGGCAGCCACATTGTCTTCAGGAATTGGTGAAGCCTTCCCAAGATGAGCAGGGTGAAATGCAGGATGTCAGGGAAGTTGCCTAGGTCCTGGAAAAGAACCCAAACCAGGTGTTTTGGGATCTGTATGTCCGGGGTTCTGCCTGCACAGACCCTCATCTCTGTGACTTCCTGGAGACCCATTTCTTGGAAAAGGAAGTGAAACTCATCAAGAAGATGGGTGACCACATGACTAATATCCGCAGGCTGGCTATCAATATTTGGGAGGCAAGCAGGAAAAGCAGGATCAGGTTAACAAATTAGAAACCATGCGTTCAAATTATTAATAATTTTTAAAAAGTAAGAGTGCAGCATTAAACCAAGAGTGAAAGAAAAAAATTATTAATAATTTTTAAAAAGTAAGAGTGCAGCATTAAACCAAGAGTGAAAGAAAAAATTATTAATAATTTTTAAAAAGTAAGAGTGCAGCATTAAACCAAGAGTGAAAGAAAACCTTTTAGTATGAGCCCTGGGTGTGGACACAAGTGGCTCACCTATGAAGCCAGCAGAAAAGTCAACAGGCTCTTGAGTACACAGACTTTCACAAGATGCCTGCGATGACTTAGTGAACAACAGACATTTCTTCAGCCATAAGTATCCTGTCTCCTCCTGGCAAGTGTCAAGAACAGTATTCTGGCTGTGGAGGTAGGGTGGTGGTAGAGATATAGAGGTTCTGAGGCCTAGTTTTTCTTAAGACTTTCAGTAAATTTTTCTGCTTTCAGTCACAGCTAGATATTTTAATTCGCTGTACATAATCAGAAACTAAACTTTAAAAAATTAACGGTCTAAAACATTTAGAAAATTCTTTAAAAATATATTCCAATGGAATATGAGAAATGGGGTAGGTAGGGTGGAGGAGAGTAAGAGAGTGGTAGAAAAAAAAAGAAATAAAATAAAATAAAATAATATTCCATATTACAAAATCTAAAGGCTAATATAAGCCTTCAGATTTGTTTCTAAAGATTGTTTCTATGAAACAATCATTCTTCCCCTCTGCTCTTTGATTTTTTTTTACCTGAAATAGACTTAAGAGGAAATCTAGATTAAATCCCTTGTATTGTGAGTGAATTAATTAAAACACAGGCAAATAAGTGTCATTCACATCATCATTACATGGCTAGTCAGAAGTAAAAGATTGTCACTACTTCTAAATATTTTCTATAGATGCAAGTATTTAAGGATTAATTAACTACCATTTAAACACAAAATAGTTTTTCTAAAAATTTTAGATATTGAAGAATGTTTCTTTACTTGAAGAAAAATGATACACAGGAAAAGTAGTGCATTCACACTATGAGAATTTAAACATGATTTTTGATAGATAACAGGAAGTCAGGATCATTGGTTTGAAATTAGATTCTAATGAGATAAAATGGGCTTCCTAGAAATTGTTAAGTGCTTCTATTTCAATACATAAAATATTTATTTTGATAGGAAAATAAAGAATAAAAATGAATTATTTTTAAACTATCTTAAAATCATGTGTATTTTTACCTTTTTTAACAAACATTTTTGGATTATTATCTCTAGATCACAATGAACAGAAAATTGTTTTTGTGGCATTGTATATTTTCCGATATCTTCTCTAAAAATTCTAATTAGTGATAACTTCCCTTTCCAGAATAGAACGTCAATAAAAAATAAACCAATAACATAATTTGAATTAAATACTTTTATTTAATTGTATGAATATTTTATGCCTTCATAAAATATGAATGAGCATAAACAGAAGAATGTTGTTCACTTTATTTATAGATTATAAATACTTCTTTTAGTGAGACTGAGATACTGAAAACTTCTGTCTGAAACCCTTGCTGAGAAAAAGCAGTGTCTGCATCTCAAATCTGACCATTTTGGCACAGACCTTCAATTTATACACATAATCCAAGTAAGGCAGTAGTATTCTTGAACCCATCTTACTGTTTCAGTAATAAATAGAATTATTCATTTTGAAGTTGTTTTTGAAGTATGAACATGGAGGTAGAACTTATCGGCATTCCCCCCCACTCCTTTAGGAAGTTTTTTCTACGTATAGAATGAAATATTATGCTTTTTGAAGTCAAACCTTGCATTGCTATTTCAGAAAGACCTCAGCTGGTGTTTGTACAGTGGGATGATTTGGCAATGCACAGTATTAAAAAAGAACCATGGCATGCTATCTTAAACACTGATACACACAAAAAAACAACTTTTTGTTGCTGGTTTATCTTTTATGCACATACAGCTCAAAGCAAAGTTTTCTGTCTCAAGTTTAAAATCATATTTTATCATGTATTTGACAATGTTCTCTTTCTCATCACATCAAAAAGAATTCCTCTAAGTTTCATGTAGCACTAAATTTGATTTTGAAGTTAAAATATCTACCATCCTCAGATGCTTACTTAGTTGCAAGAATATCCTGTATTCTTCTCTCACTGGCACAAACCAATTTAGGTTGTTGTAACAAAATATAGATACGGCATTTTAATTATAAACATGGCTTCTTTTAAATTTCTTCCTCAATTTTTAGTGATGCACTTGTGGTACTTGTACAATATGAATGTTATAAATGCCATTCATAAATTATACTATGTTTAGCTACATAGGTTGTGAAATAATAAAGGATACATAGAAAAGAAAAATATGCATTGCATTCCTTTTTGGTAATACAGCCTTTACATAGATTATCATATATAATCTTTATAAAACCACATATGTAAAAGTATTATTATTATTATTATTATTATTATTATTATTATGAGAAACAGGGGTTCAGAGAAGTTAAATAATCTGCACCAATAAACAGAAGTAGTATATCTCGGGTCTCGAATCCAAATATTCCAACTTTGAATTTTAACATGTCTTCCACTTAGAATTTTGAAGGATGGTTAGGAAGAATAGAGAGGAACAGATTGGAAGTTAAAAGATAAAGAATCAAATTGGGACAACTGCAGAAGCATAAACAATAAAATATTTTTTAAAAATAATCAGTTAGGACAGATGCAAAGAGAGAATTTAAAAGATCAGATGGCCAGATATCTTGCCACATGTTGAAAGAAAGTTTTAAGAAGAATGCAAAGTTTTATGCATTTTGGGAAATATCAGGGAAGTAAATCTGTTTTAGTTAAACTCAAAGTAGGCTGTAATTAATTATAAAGGGCAAGAAGGCTATTGGTACAACTAACAAATTTCTCAATGGAGGCCTGCTACCATGCTTCCTTAACACAAGTCCTGTAATGACTTTGAATGAGTTGTCTCTGAGGGACAGTAGCATATTCAAATATGCAGAAAATCATAGAGAGAAGAAATGGATCATCAGAGAACATGAAAGATTAACATGATTTACATAATGGGGATCCACTAAGTATAATATACCTGGACTCATCCCAACTTTAAATTATCCCTATAAATTAATGTAGTCAATATCAAGTGACTAGTATCTTTAATTTTATTATTCAGGTTTATTATATATTTTTTCAAGCAAGAAACAAAAACTGATTCAAAGATATGCACAAGTGGTATGATAACCATAAGGGACAGTGCAGTCGTCCAGTACTGGTGGTAGCAAATATTTTAACAATCCTAAGCCTGAGAGGCAAAGTTCAAGTAAAAATTAATGGGAACTAAAGAAAAGTGTGTCTTAAGAACAGCAGTGATTTTCACTTGAGACACAGCCAACTGAAGGGCCCTGTGAGAGAAATACATTCTGAGAAATAAATATGATGACAACTTTCCTTTTTTTAAAATCCCCTACAGTGACTACCTAGTGGCTGAATTCAATTTGAAACTTAATAAAAGTAATAAAATGAACAGAATATATGCTTCCATTTATTTATGTCTTCCTTAACTTCATTTTTCAGTGTTCTGTAGTTTTTCAGTACAGGTCTTTACCTCCTTGGTTAAGTTTATTCCTAAGTACTTTTTTTGTTGCTATAATAAATGGGATTCCCCCCAGGAGTGTAGAACCTACCAGTTTACTTTGAGGGGCACAACCACAGCCCCCAAAAGTGATGAGATCTGTTTGCAGTCAGCACCTCTGTTTAACATAAATGGGATTTTTTACCTAATTTCAGTTTCTGATATTTCCCTGTTGGTGTACAAAAATGCCTCTGATTTCTGAATATTGACTTTATATCTTGCTGTTTTTCCAAATTCACTTATTAGGTAGAGTAGTTTTTTGGTTGAGTCTATAGGGTTTTCCATTTACACTATTATGTCATCTGCAAATAATTATAGTTTTACTCCTTCCTTTCCAATTTGGACACCTTTTATTTCTTTTTCTTGTCTGATCACTGTGGCTAGGACTTTCAATACTATGTTGAATAGATGTGGTAAAAGTGGACGTCATTGTCTTATTCCTGCTCTTAGAGAAAAACTTTTAGTTTTTCTCCATTAAGTATTATATTGGCTGTAGGTTTCTCATATATGGCCTTTATTACATTGAGGAATGCTCCCTCTATCCCCACTCTAATGAGTGTTTTTTATTGTAAATGGGTGTTGTACCTTATCAAATGCTTTTTCTGTACCTATTGATATGGTCATGTTATTTTTGTCTTTCCTTTTATGTAATGTATTATGTTAATTGATTTGCAAGTATTGTACAGTCTTTGCATCCTTTGGATAAATTCTATTCTATCATAGTGTATGATCTTATTAATGTATTGGTGGATGTGACTTGTCAATATTTTGTGGAGTATTTTAGCTTCTATATTCTTAGCAATATTGGCCTATAGTTTTCTTTCTTTATTGTGACTTTATCTGGTTTTGGGATTAGGATAATGGTCATATGGAACCATAAAGGACCCCAAATAGCCTCACAATTTTGAAAAGAAAGAACAAAGTAAGAGAGAGTATAATGCCCAATATCAAACTGTATTGCAAGACCACTGTAATCAAAACAGTTTAGTACTGGCATAAGAACAGACACAGAGATCAATGGAACACAATAGAGAGCCCAGAAATAAATCCAAGTCTCTATGGTCACCTAATATTTGACAAAGCAGGCAGGATCATAAAATGGAGTAAAATAGCCTCTTCAACAAATGGTGTTGAGAGATCTGGACACGTACATGCAAAGAAATGAAACTAGATCACCAACTTCCACCATACACAAAATAAACTCAAGATGAATAAAAGATTTAAATATGAGTTGTAACACCATAAAAGTTGTAGACAACAGCATAAGCAGGAAAATTTCAGATATCCCATGCAGCAATATTTCATTGATATATCCCTTAGAGCAAGGACATAAAGGAAAGACTAGACAAATGGGACTTCATCAAGATAAAAAAATCTTCTGCATGGCTAAAGAAAACATCAGCAAAATGAAAAGGGAATCCATTATATGGGAAAACATATTTGCCAATGATATGTCAGACAAAGGTTTGATCTGCAAAATATATAGAGAAATCATATGACCCCCCATCATGAAAACAAACAATACAATTAAAAAATAGGAAAAGGACCTAAACAGACACTTTCCGAAGAGGACATACAGTAGGCCCATAGACATATGAAAGGATGCTCAACATCACTAGCCATCCGAGAGATACAAATTAAAACCACAATTAGATAACACCTCACATCTGTCAGAATGGCCATCATAAACAAATCAACAAACAACAAATGCTGGTGAGATTGTGGAGAAAAGGGAACCCTAGTACACTGTTGGTGAGAATGCAGACTGTGCAGCCACTATGGAAAACAGTATGGAATTTCCTCAAAAAACTAAAAATGGAACTGCCTTTTGATCCAGTGATTCCACTGCTGGGATTATATCCTAAGAGCCCTGAAACACCAATTCAAAAGAACTTATGCACCCCAATGTTCATACCAGCACAATTTACAATAGCCAAGTGCTGGAAACAACCTAAGTGCCAATCAGTAAATCAGTAGATCAAAAAACTGTGGTATATTTGCATAATGGAATATTGCACAGCAGAAAGAAAGAAGAAATTCTTACTCTTCATAACAGCATAGATGGAACTGGAGAGTATTATGCTAAGTGAAAAAAGCCAGGTAGTGAAAGATAAATATCCTGTAATCTCACTTATAGGTGGAACGTAATTAACAAAACAAACCAGAGGCATGGAAATAAAGAATGAACTGAGAGTGACCATAAGGGAGTGGAGAGAGGGTTAATGGGGGAAAGAAGGGGAAGGGTCAGTTCCAGAAACATGTATGAATGACTCATGGATAAGGACAATGAGGGATGATTGAATAGAACTGGGTTAGGCAAGGCAGGGGAGAGCAATGAGAAAAGAATCGGAACAACTATAACTGAACAACAATAAAAAAAGAAAAGGGATGAAATGAGTAGAGAGCAAGCTAAAGATGCATAGGATGTGTGGGCATGGGGGGTCAACAGAAGGTACCTATAATAGGAACTGTGTCAGCTGTAGCTGAGTCTGCTCTAAATATATCCAGAGTTTCTGTTTATATCTCTACATTTCCTGAATAGCCCTTTCGTCTCTTCTCTCTCCAAAACTTCTTATGCTTTATGCCCAATCCTCATTCTCAGCAGTTTAGCTTGATTTCTATTTCACTGAGAAAAATAAGAGCAATCAGAAGAGAACTTCCACTAACTCCCAAGGGCACATATATCCCACTATCCACATGTGGTAGTGTGTTCTCTGCCTTTCTTCTGGTCACCACGAATGATCTATTGTTAGAGTTATCTGAGGCCAAATCATTCATTTGTACATTAGATTTCATGTATCCGTGCCTATTCAAGCATATCACTAAAAATTGTACTTTTCTCTGTATCATATATTTCTCCCTCTGTATTTAATCATCTCTGTCAGCATACAAAGATAGTCAATTCTTTCATTAAGAAAAATTCTCTGAAAATTGTTAGAAGACAAATTTGTTGTGAGCCTATCATACTTGTGTACATCTGCAGAGTGAAGAACATTATTTTTTCAAAGATATTTGTGTGGGAAGCACCCTTGGACAATAAAGATAGTATCCTCTGCCGGAGTAAAGGGAAACTTTCCTTAGAGCCCTTTTTGGAGGACTGAGGTCCCTCAAACTCAGACTACTGTAACTCAAATCACTGTATGTGGAACCTGGGGTTCAGAGGACAGACATAAAATGCTAAAACTATGGCTATTGCTATTGCTATTGCTATTGCTATCAGTAAACTGTCTTTCATCTCTGACCCAACAGTGTTGGCCTTGTACCATCATTCATAAAACTTCAGCAAGCAAAATTGCAAGATTGCAAGGAAGGTAAAATTCAGACCCTTTAGTTTTATTGACATCAATCTCATTTTTCTGATATATTAGCCTTTGCAGCAAAAGTCCTTGAAAACGTTGCCTATATTTATGATCTCAAATTTCATTCCTCCCACTCTAATGCTATCATGCCACTGAAACGGCTTCTACCAAATTTGGTTTAAAAGCATTTAATCCAATAATCAATTATTTGACCACACTTTTCCTCCAGTTGCAAGCTCTTTCTTCACTTGACTTTCAGATTAATACCACTATATTTTTGGTTCTTCCAAACCAGGTTCTCGTTTTCACTATCCTTTGTAGATTTTTCTTCTTCTTCTTTTTCCCTTTGTCTCTTAAGATCCCATCTTTTATAATTCAAGGCTTGGTCTTGAAACCCTTCTTTTTTTCTTTGTATATGAAATTCCTTGAATATCCATCTCTTTTAGCATCATGCCTTTAATTATCTGTATGCACCAACAACTAGTATGTATATACATATATATATATATTCCAGACCTCTCTCTTAAGCTACACATTTACTTCCAACTGCCTAGCACATCCACTTGGAAGTAAAACTGGCATATCAAACTTAACATGTCTAAAACTGTACTACTTGTTTCCCCCATAATCCTATTCTTTTCACAACTTTTAATTCTGTATAATGTCAACCACATTCTTTAAATTGCTTAAGCCAAGAATCTTAATTTTTTTCTTCTCCCTTATTCTTGTGCCACAAATTCAATCTTTTGACACATTCCTTTGTCTCCTCCTTCAGTTATATTTATAACACAGACATTCTTATCATCTCAAATTCACACACCTTACCTAAACCACTGTAATCTCTTGCCTACTCTAGATCATTGCGATAGCCTCCTAACATATCTCAATATTTCTGTTCCTCCTTCTAAAGCTTGTTCACACTAAAGTAGCCATACTAGTCTTGCCATCCTGTGAAATGAGAATCTTTACTTCTATATTCAAAGCCCTCTGCTGGCTTCCTGACTCCCACAAAGTCTAAAGCATAATCCTGCCAGTGTCTAAGAAAACTGTTTACCTCATACTTTATTGCCTTCACTGCCTCACTCACTCTGCCTTGTCTATGTTGGCTTCTTTAGTGTTCCTTACACAGTCCAGGCACATTCCATCTTCAAAGTATTTAAACATCTTCCAGATATCCACAAGGCATACTCCCTCAAATCTCTAGATTTTGGCTCAACTGTCACTTTTTGTGTTAAATTTATAATTCCCGGACCCCTGAAATAATCCGTATACTTTCTTAGCTCTTACATCATTTTATGTAATTCATACTTTTACATAAATATTAATAGCTATGGTGTAGGATCTATGAGAAAATTATTCTCTTTAAAAATTATTCTGGTCCCTGACTGGTGTAGCTCAGTGGATTGAGCACGGGCCTGCAATCCAGAGGATCGAGGTTTGATTCCAAGTCAGGACACATGCCTGGGTTGCAGGCCAGTTCCCAGCAGGGGACACACAAGAGACAACCATACATTAATATTTCTCTCCCTTTCTCCTTCCTTTCCCCTCTAAAGATAAATAAATAAAATATTTAAAAAATAAAAAATAAAATTATTCTGTATTTCTGGCATTTAGAATAGCCTCTGTCTCATAATTGGTATTCAAGAAATATTTGTTAATAGAATGATTTACTTAATATATACGTATTCAAATATATCTCAGAAAGTCCCTCATATATATAATTAAAATGATTTCCTTTCAATTGAACATCTTATATCAATTCTATTTACTAGACATTGTCCAATAAAATGTTTACTTTAATCTAGTTAATATTCATAAATAGTTTATCATATTTCGACTTTTAATTGTTCATCACTCTATGCT